AATTTTTTCACTTGTTATTTACAGTAAGATAAATACATTCACCAACTTTTATTAAAATAAAACCATTTAAACTGGGTGTTCGGATTTATATGTCACTCAGTATATTTTTTGAAAACAACAACTAAAAGGAAATCGTCTGTGGGAAGATTTTAACCCGCATTTCCGCCGTTCCGTAATAGGCGATCTACATAGTTATTGGCTTACATCGCTGTCAACCAACATTCCGGATTGTTAGAGGCATGTTCAAATAACAAAAACTTACCTATATAAAAGTGTCACCGTTTTTGAGATATTGAATTTTTTCTTAGATTTTAAAAAAACGAACCTTTTCATCTGTGGTCTTAAGCTGCATGAACAAATAAGGTTATACTTTGTTCATTTTTTCTATAAAATACTTCTAGAGAGTTGCTTTATCATATACAAATGCAATGTAGTTAAAAGATATTAAGGAATCATGACAAAGTAAGGACTGTTTTGGGATCTTTAACCTTGTGACATTGTTTCCTCAATTTTCATAAAATCATATAATACTTTCTGGGCGTGGGAGGTAAAAAGCCTTTAAAGCAATTTTTACGTAGACAAAAATAAACGTAAATCTGATAACCATGTTGACGATTGTAAGTTATTAAATTATAAACATATTTAGGTTTGGCACGCTTTGTTCTAATTTTTACTCTTTAACTTTAGAACACAATTGCTGAACCTTTTTCAATTATGAGGGAAACCTTTCGTAAAATTTGTAACTAAATTGGTTATTAGAGCAAAAGTTAGTCATAATAATACTAAACATACTGCCGAAATGTATCTTGACAAATTTTCCGAAAGAATGCAACCAAGTCCATTTTCTTAAAATTGGCTCAAAATTTAAATGAATATGGTTCATTCAAAAGCCTGTTACGTCTCGAAAAAAGGAATCTTCAAAGGAAACTCGGAATAGGGTTTTACCAGCAATTGTTGAGAACTCTGAGATATCAACGAGGCAAATTGAGAAAGATATTAATTCAAGATTTGTCAAGGACTTAGAACAGGGGATAGCGAACGGCGCCAGCATTTTTGTGAGTGGTACACACGACTGTGCGGAGAAGATTTTAATTTCCCTTCAAAAAGAATATGCTCCAACAAGAGGATGATGACTAGCAATAGCATATTTAATCGCCGCAACACTCATTACTGAGCTTAAGAAAATATGCTGGCTAAAAAAGTTTTCAGACATCAGGAACGTTTTGAGTTTAACATGTGTGGAATTCTAGGGGAAAAATATTAGGTTCCTTTATTTACCACAACTCGTTAACTGCAACACGATACCTTCAATTGTTGCAACATGTTCTAGAAGACGACGTGGCTAATTCGTACAAAATGCTGCACGCGGGAATATAATACTAGGTCGGCTACCTTCAGGCAGAATGTGTTAATAAATACTTCTACTTATAGTTTAATCATATTAGACGAAAGTATACCTGGTTTGCGGAGTAATTTTAAAGTCTGGATCCATTGCTGGAAGTTGTTCAAGGGGGGATTCAAAACCTGGACGCATAAAATGGGTACACCAGTTTTTGTGGGAAAACTTTTCATTCGACAACAAAGAATGGGAAATCGTGTTTTCGGGAACTCAATCGAAAGTGCTGGCAGGAACGAAAAAACTCTTCATGTAAGACTTTTAAGTATTAATGAGACCCACAAAATGAGATCACACCTAAAAGGATCCGTTTAATAGCAAAACAGTTATGGCCGAAAATCAAGGCAAATGCAGGTTATGGCTCTTGTTGCTAATGCGACGATAATTCCATGCAGCTACTTGAAATTCTTAAAATTCGTAGAATTCGTACTTCTAAATAACCACAACAAAATTGGAGTAGATTGGTCAAATAGTTTTTGAGAATTTCTAATTCCTTATCCCAAAAAACCTGTTCTCCGGCCATCACTACTAGTTTATTGAGCAATATACAGGGTTCGTTCAAAGAGTATTTTATAGCAAAATGCACCATTTTACCTTGCCGATATGAACCGCAAACCATTCCGGAGTGTACATATTATTTTTGTGCAAAAAAGAATGTGTTGCATTTTTTCTTCTAAACAAATTCAAACATCTCATATTTTTGAGTAATTTGCAACAAAAGATGATAGACATTGCCGCTTTGTTTATTTGTGTATAGTAGCGTATGTTTTTTGAATATGGTAACGCATTTGTTCAATTACTCACAAATACGAAATGTTTGAATTTGTTTAAGAGAAACAAATGTTACCTTTGTTGTTCGCATAAAAATAACATTTGTCTTTCGGAATGGTTTGTGATTCATATCGGCAAGGTAAACATGTGTATTTTCTATTAAATGATCTTCCAACGAACCCTATATATTGCTCAATAAACTAGTAGTGATGGCCGGAAGACAGGTGTTTTGGGATAAACAATTAGAAAATCTCAAAAAACTATTTGACCAATATAATCTAATTTTGTTGTTGTTATTCAGAAGCATGAATCCTACGAACTTGAAGAATTTCAGGTAATTCCGTGAAATTATCGTCGCATTACCAAGTGCCAAAACCTGCATTTTGCCTCGTTTTTCGGCTATTAGCATTTTTGCTATTAGTCGGATCTTTTTACGTCTAGTCTCATTTTCTAGGTCTCGTAAATACCTAAAAATCTTGTATGAAAAGTTTTTTCGTTCCTGTCAACACTTTCGATTTAATCCCGAAAAACATGTTTTCTCATCCTTGTCCAATAACAAGTTTTCCCACAAAAATTGGTGTATCCATTTTATGTGTCTATGTTTTAAATACCCCGTTGAACAACTTGCACCAATAAAACCAGATTTTACAATTATTTCGGAAAAATTTGCTAATATGATTAAACTATTATCACTATATCATAATGCCACTCGCGCTATCTGGATCTAGCACAGCTACATGCTAAACGTTATTGTAAAACCAAACCGCACTGTTCCTGCTCGTAGGTGTACCTTTGTTACAACATGGAACATAAGCTCAAATGGGTTTCAAGCTCAAGCAGGTCACCAGACACTTGGACGCTTTCTTAAGCAAACGTTTCTGGAAAGCTTGTTTCTCTCGAACAAAACAGTTGCTCCAGTCGGCTTCACTTATTACTGTTAAAAACAGTTTCTCACAGCGATCCAACGTGGGAAAGAACTAAACGTAGTAGTGACCCTACTACTAGTAAACTGTAAGCTTCAATACATTCGAGTGGAACTGCTGGAAATTTTAGTGAGATCGCTGATGAGTTACTGCGAAAATGGTGGGCTTTCATGTTTGGAGACAACTATTGTATTGTATTGCTCTAGACAAAGCGGACGTTCCGATACATTTATCTCAGACTCCTCCATAGTATTTTAACATGTGCAAAATTCTCTTTGTAAAATACAGAACGCACTAGTTTAAACGTCAAAACTGGTAATCACTTAAGACATTCCAAGAACCTCATGTCGTGAAGAGAGGATGCTTTGTACTCCTTAGTGACGTCGACGGTTTTGTGTGATTTGATTTGCCTGAAGTGATTAAGATAGCTTCGATATACAGAATAAGTTATATTTAATGATATGTAGTGAAAATAACTGTAATATAACTCAGAATGCAAAATTACCGCGACTAGACTGTGTAGTACGTTTTATTGCTGGCAGTTCCACGTGCAAAGCAAAACAAATCGATTTTTACCGCTCTAGAGTGATGTAATAAAACTATCAACCCTAGAAAGAAGTAATAAAGCTATCAACCCTAATTTAACTATATTTAGCTTGAATATTATGAAATGTTTGAAAACATCAGGTAGCGTAGACCATTCATAATTTGAATTTTGGATCGACTGTACAAAAAAAATAAGGAATATTTTTTAAAATTTCTGGTGTTATTGGAAAGAGTGAAACTTGACATTTAAGAGTATGCTTATTTCGTCGCCAATAACACGAAGTGACGTATCTCAGAAAATACGAAAATTCAGTTAAGTCGATTTTATTACTTAAAAAATGCTGCTAATCAAAATCTCATTTTAATAGGAAATTAAATTTCACGAGGGAGCTTAACTCAAGTTACGCCAATTTGTGAAATTATAAAATATAGGTACATATCATTTTACAGCGTATGGCTTATCTTAGTAAGATAGCGGACACAGTTAAAAACATACAAATAATAAAAGTCTGGAAGGCAAAATAGCCGCAAATATCCCCGAACTGAAGGTAATCAGTATTTCGTATGTAAAACTCTATTTGGGCACAAGTTAGGATCTCGTCAATGGACAATGAGAACTGGAATCGTTGCAGGAGAAAAAAGAGGTGGCAGATATTAGGAGAGACAATTCACTCCGAGATGCAATTCACAAACACATCCTGAGGTTCCCGAAAATTGAGTCCCACTATTGCCCACCAAGTTCACCCAAGGAATATCTTCATCCAGAACTGACTGTTTCTAAGATATATGCTATGTTTATAGGAGAACTAAATCACACTGACGACAAACCTTCGATTGAAAGTATTTAGGTAATTAAACCTTGTATTTCACCGACCGAACAAAGATCAGTGCTCGCTGTGTGATTCCTAGGTGAGAAAGATCAGAAATAAAGACTGAAGCCAGGTATCAAAAGTATTACGACGAAAAAAACAAAGTAAGTGAAATAAAAAGTTCTATAGAGTGCAAGCTCTGAATAATAATAATAATAATAATGGAATTGCATGTACAAGTTTTGATCTATAACAAGTCCCGGGTCAAATAAAAAAATATAATTTGACAGTGCTCGATATTTCTTCAAAGGAATGCCAGTGTTTTCTTTGAAATGAACTAGAGAGGAAAAGAGTGGCATTTGAAGCAAGTTCTCGTGTTTCTAGGGTTTTCCAAATTTACGACTCTAAGGTTATAGATCGTTTGCCCTATTTTCCGATGGATACAGTGGACAGAATAAGAATTCCATTATTGCGAAAATGCTTTTATATGATGTAGTTAAGACTTATAATATAGTAGATATCTGATTATTCTATTTGAGGCAATGCATGGTCAAAATGAAGGAGATTCTGCCTACAGTGCCGTCTTTACAGCATTTTTTTTACTCCAACTACCACGAAGGATTAATATCTAAGCATTCCTAAGCAAATCCATAAAATATATTCATTTCAGTTTAAACCACATGATTATGCAGCAACTGGATGGTTTCGCGAGCTGTACGGTATAATGCACTTACTGTCTTGTTGAAGTCAATCGGTGTCTTCATCGATATTATCCAATTCAAACAAAGAAGCCTACAGATACTTGTGCATTGGAGATGGAAATTCAACGGTGCCTCAATAAAACTGAGAAGCATTCATGTAAAATTGATAAATTCGACAAAACGAGAGGTTATGTGCTAGCAAATGGGGGGAGCCAACTTGCCTGATGTGCTATGCCATACATAACCATATCTTATGCACTTCTATTTTTTTTTTATACGCCAACTACCACGAAGGCCTACGGTCCTAAACACCCATGGGGTACCGAGGTGCTATAGGGGAAAGGGGGGCGCCACACTGATTCCGGCGAGGGAACACGTATGCATTGAACATTTATGCATGCAACATGCACACATTCTGGCCCCGCTTACGAGATCCACCTGGTGGTTCCTCCGCGTTTGACAGTCAGAGGCTATCTACCACCTATGGACAATCACAACATCCATAGCCAAGAGAATAATTCCGTGAGACGGGATTCGAACTCGCGCAGCGCACGGCGACTCATCAGGGGACCGAAGAGTCTACTACTGCGGCCACCGCTGCTGCCTAAGTAGGTGCAAGTCTTATACCTGCCCAACTGCCTTCAGTTATTCGCCTGGCAAGACATGATCAACCGTACATTGTGCACGAACTTCAGCACAATGACTTTCAAGACTTTAAAAACATGTCCCAAGAGTTTAGAGTTTTGTCTATAAGAACTTTAGATACAGAGAAGCCTATAAAATGGCTAGAATTAATATAATAATAAAGGTGAAAAAAATGAACAATATTTTACGAAGCTAGTCACCTGCAACACGAATACAGTTTTTTTATACTAATAGAAATACTAATTATTAGTTTGTTTATCTTTAACAGGTGTTATTATATCATTATAATTTGAGTGAATATTTTTTTGTGCTGCCATATATACTTTTATAAGGAGTTAAATAGTTTTAGATACTGCGGATACTTATGTCGCAATAGTATTCGCTGTTCTCCTTTTTGTAACCATTTTGTCTTGTAATAAATCATTTTTTTCTTAAATTTCATGTGTTTTTATTTTTCATCACTTTAATATAACACGGACGTAACTAAGTCTTTACTCCATGAATTACAACCTCTTAATTTCACAAAATGACGTATCTATTTTTTTTTTAATTTTTAACACAAATTTTCGAAAAGCTTGTAACATGAGCAGATATACCCTCAAATTCGATTATGTAGCCATACTACTTTTTTGTCAGCAATAACTCAAATCTCCTGAAAATATTCAAAACGCTCTCCTATAAAATCGGAAAACATGAGATACGCCACTTCGTGTTATGGACGACGATTTAAATGAGTACCTCCGCTGGCTGACTCAATTTTCATGTACGTTTCGATTGTTCAGGCTTGAATTTCTTGAATGGCAAGTTAGACGTGCCTTATGATCTCAATGGTTACCATGTTATTACCTATACCGGGTGTCTCAAACTCGACCCTTACCATAGGGACCTCGGAAACTCTAATGGATACGAAGTCCCTAAAATGGAGGCGAAGTTGTGTTTTCAGGTAACTAACAAAACGCCGTTTAGAAAGTTTCGAAATTCAAAGTACTTACGAAGGACGGAAAAAACTGGGTTTTTCCCAAAATCACATAATTTTTTCCTGACTTTGTTTGTTATGGGATTTCAAAATAAATTGCACATTGAGGTTCTAGCTTTTTTTCCTCTACAAGACGGCGTAATTAGAATTTAGATAGATGTTTCGTCTCTTGCCCTCCAGGATCAACTTTATTTTTTCTTGAGGACGTTATGTTGGATTTTTGCACAGGACAATAGAGTTTTCAATTCTGATTTCAAAAATGTGTATTACTTCATACATTGACATTGCCTAACCTTAGTTATTTCAAAAAAAATTATTTGTTTGGCATAACAGGTTTATTCCAAAGCCGTTTTTATTTTTCCTGACTCCATTTGAGATCAAACTTAAAAATAAATAGCATATTGTCATTGCCACCTATTCTCCTCTCGCAATTCGAGGTTTCTTCTTTTGACTTCCATCACATACTTTTTTTTTCATATGGACGCTATATTGGGGAACTTCGTACATTCAAATTCAGTGATGTACTTTCTTTGTTGACAATGAATTTGATGTCGAAACAAAAACTATAAGCAAGTAAAGGGTTATGGCAAAACTTGAACACAAAATGATATTTTATTGATTGTAATAACAATGATAATCACGAATAATGAGATATAAAGCATGGCAGATGTTCAAAATGTTGTTCGTCATTTTGTAGGCAAAGCCTGACTCTTCTCTGTACAATGTGGCAATGTAATGTATGATATATTATACATTTTTGGAATCAGAATCAAAAACCCTATTCATCTGCCTCAACCAGTGTGCCGTTCACAAGAAAACATAAAGTTGATACAGGAGTACAAGAGACAAAACGTCATATTGAAATTCCAATTATGCCATCTTGTAGAGAAGGAAAAGTAGCAGTCTTAATGTGCAACTTATTTCAACATCACACTACAAATAAATTCAAGAAAAAATTAAAACTATTTTGAGAACATTCTTTTTTTTCTGCCTTCCTTCGGGAATACTTTGGATATAATATCTGTCTAAGCAGTATTTTGTTGGTTACCTAAGTACACAACTAAGTGCTAAGCGACACCAGTGGTGAGGATCGAATTTAAAACATCTGGTATATATTATTTCCATGACATTCAACGTGAAAATGAGCTTCATCTGAAAATGATTTTTTGCTAAACATGCTCTTTGGTCACTGAATGATTTGAAAACGCATCGGTTCGTACCTTTTCATAAACGTCAAACATAAAACTAATTTTTGGGTGCGTTATAAATGCGATTTAAGATTTTGATACCAACATAACCGTCATTTTATATTGTAAATACTAGGTGGCTCACCCTAAACAATTTTCGATAACTGAATTTATCGACAAAAATCATTCCAATGTGAATTCAGTATTTTACCAAATCTCTGCCTCGGAAGTTAACCATGGACGTTGTGTTGTGTTTTGTCTGTATAACGCATCAGCTCGGTACAAGGTCAACATGTGTACATCGCATCGCTGGACATGGTTTATTCAATTATCAGGTACCTGTAGATGGCTTGTGCAGTGGTACATTGTTGGTATAGTAGACGACAACGATATTGTATTTGTTTACATTTTTGCCGATAGTTATAAAACGGTTATAAAACCGTGAACCGGTGGCATGAGGACAGAGACGGATCTGAAAATTTTCAAACATTTTCTCTTGCAAGTCTGGGTGAGATGAGAGATGACTAAATCAAGTTGTTGAAGTAACGTTAATTGTTATTGTAATTAATTATCCTGACATTAGTTAAAAATTCATACTAATAACCAAAAAATATATATATACGTATATATATATATATAGATATGTATATCTAATGGTAGCGATGTCAAATACGAGGGATGTTTTTTAAGTTTTGCATATAGAAACTTAGTAGGCCGCGCGGATCGAACGTCAGTGCTGAATCTTAACCTCACTCTTTAGTACGTGCAGTGTTCTTTCTCACTACAGTGAATTTTTAAGTGTCACCAAGTCATTAGAAAAATGTTACTCAACCGAGAACATTTTTGCGCCATAATTTATTATAACTTTCAGAGACAATTATCGCAATAAGAATGCCTTGCAGCGTTACTGTCTGTTGTCGGCAACGAAGCGCCACATCAGTCGACAATTTCCCGTTGGTATGGAGAATTCATACCTGGATGGGTGAGTCTTAGCGACGATCCCAGGGTGGGTACACCAAAAACGGCAGTCACCCAGGAAAACTTTATGCTGTGCGCAAACTCATCATTGAAGATAGACATGTGACATATCGCGAGATTGAAGCGTTCTTGAAGATATCAAAGACCTCAATTATAAAAAAAGTACATGAAGAATTAGGAGTAAGAAAATTAGTTTCTCGTTAGTTACCCCACCTGTTGACTGAAGAGCAGAAAGCAGCCAGGGTTAATTGGTGTCAAAAAACGCTTGACCGTTTCAATTCCGGAAACTCAAAAAATGTGTACAGCATTATTAGTGGTGATGAATCGTAGATTTACTGTTATGAACCAGAAAATAAGCGACAGTCGGCTGTTTGGGTGTTCCAAGGTGAAGAAAAGCCAACAAAAGTCATCCGTTCTCGAAGTGTTTCGAAAAAGATGGTCGCGACATTTGTGTCAAAGCGGGTCATATTGCAACAATTCCTCTTAATGAGCAAATAACTGTTACTGCGGATTGGTATACCACCATTTGTTTGCCAAAAGTCATCACCGAGCTTCGAAAAATCGACCCCGAAAGAAGAATCACCCTCCACCAAGACAATGCAAGCTCGCACACAGCCCAAAAAACAAGGCAGTATTTAACGGAAGAAAACGTGGAATTATTGGACCATCCTCCATATAGTCCCGATCTAAGTCCTAACGATTTCTTTACTTTCCCGAAAATTAAAAACAGACTGCATGGTCAAAGGTTCCAGTCACCAGAAGAAGCAGTTGACGGATTCAAATATGCCGTGTTGCATCTGCCTGCAAACGAGTGGAATAAGTGCTTCGAAAATTGGTTCGAGCGCATGCAGATGTGTATTAATCTCCGTGGAGAATACTTCGAAAAACAATAAAGTCATTTAAAACTATATATCTACCGTGTTGTTTTATTTCGATATGCAAAAGACATCCCTCGTATGTAAAGTTACTTACCTAATTTGCTGTGCCTTTTTCTAGAAGCATGCTCATAAAGATCATCCACCTAAATACATATTTCATTTCACATTCACACTTTACTTCTTTATTTAATAAAAGTCCTACAACAACTTAATCCTCTTCTTCCGAAGAGTCATCATTGACGTCAATAATAAACTTCGCGTTGCCCACTTGGTGAATCTTATGTAAGTCTTTAGTCATTTTCATTTTGCAGGACTCTCTCGATGGCTTTCTTCCAAGTTAATTTAGTTATTTGGACTGCCTCTGATCTGATTAGGTCGGCTACGGCTCGGTCACTAGTCGGATTCATGTTCCTCCGGCAAATTCTTCTTTTTAGTTGAACCCATATCAACTCTACGGGATTAGATATACAAAAATAAGGTGGAAGTCGTAGGATGACATGTCCACAAGAAGCTGATATTTCGTCAACATTATGTGAACTTGTTGCTATGACAGTATCGAAACAACGCGATTTTTTAGATTCGCCACATTCAAACCAATTCTATCGAACTATTAAAGCTTTTTAGGTTGTTTCACATTGCTCAAATGTATAATTTATACTGATGAACCAGATCCCTTTATTATTTATACCGTATCAGATGGTGACCGTACTATATGGCGATTCGGTAAGACAAGGAAGCAGAAAAAAAGTAAACGAATACAATATCGTTGTCGTCTACTATATTACATCAAAAGAGGGGTCAAAAATATCCTGGTTACCAGCTACTACTACTATGCTTCAAGGGAACTGTGTCACGTTGCTACTTCACGGCAGCCGCCTCTGTTTAGAATTTCAGCTGAATGATATAAGAAATCTCATCCGATCTATAAGCACTATAAATGTAGTAGTAACAGACTAATGTTAGTGCTAATTGTTAAAGTACTCGTACTTTAACACGAGCGCTTACAACACGTGCCTGATATGAGCATCTCGGCAAATTAGGAAAGAACACTAACGGCCCTGTTCAAACTTTCAAGTGCAATTTTAGGAATTTTACTGCGTATTTATACAAACGAGTGCCACTGGAAAGTTACTAAGTTGGCCGAGTTTTTCGATAAAACAACTGCAGTTATCTCAGCGACTGTCAAATTAAAGGAAGAAATATGGCGCGCGGGAGGTGTGCCGTAACGTGACTTTTATTGCATCTGCTTACTGGAACTTTGCTGTTTTTCGTACAGATTTGATAACAAAAGCTGTTTTCGAACCGGAAAGTCGTATGTAAAACTCCACAGGTAAACAACTGAAATCTCGGAGGAGGAAACCAATATCGGAGATATGGCCGTTCCCGTATTGGAATTGTTATAGACCAGTCATTTTTTTCATCAATTCCAATACAATCCTGTGAAAAGTAAAGGCATTGATTAACGTATTCGATTTAGAGATTGATAAACTAATATAATATTAATTTGTGTACAGCTATTTTTCTCCTCTCCGCAATAATTGGAAGTCTGCTTTGAAAAGGTTTGTGTCTTGTAGTTGCCGTTCGTATATAGCCATTTCACTTCCCACCGCTACTGTAGGATACGTATTATAATCGCTAAGATTTCCGAAAATTAGATATTACGTTTGTTGAATGTTATAATATGACATGTACATCCCGACAAACCGTGTCACTCATCTACGTCGGCCTGTCTGTCTGTCTGTCGGTCACTAATCTTATAACCGCCTATAACTTGACAAGTACCGCTCGGATTTAGATGTTTTACTCAATGGTACTAGGATGCCAAGGACGCAAAAGCTTTGTAGAAAAGCCGTCCAATGGCGGCAGCGAAAAAGGACAAAAAGGAAAAAGGGAAAAAGCTGCCCAAACTTCGTTTTTCGACGTTTCAGATGAACCTGTTTATTTTGGACAAGGTAAGAAAGCTTGGAGAAAATTGTAAGAGGTTTATCTCAATTTTTTGACCTTGTAGTACATTTATTCACTCCCTACCTTGGTAATTCTGCGCATCTATCCGACATTTTTCACACATCATAGATGCCGTGTTGTTTTTATTTTGCAAAGGTACAAAATGAATCACTAATCTGCAGATTTCCCTAGGAAGTAAGAATAATAACACATGGCTGGGATGAAAAAGAAGATAATACTTTGAGGAAACAGTTTTGCAACAGTAAGATTTTAGAAAGCGTACTCTTTGATGGCATTGCGTTAATCAGATTAAGGTTACACATAGAAATGTAACTTTAAAAATTATATTGTTGTCTCGCTCATCCATCTCCACGTTTAACTGGTCGTTGAATGGAACCGCAGATTATGAAAGAAAATATTTAGCAACGTTTCGGCCACCTCAGAAGGCTATTTCGGGACACCAAAGTACATCCCACCTTTTACGCAACGTACCATTGTGTACATATACCAGAGCAAAGTTCCTCTAATAAAATGATTTTATAGCAGGCAAACATGGCGAATAATAAAAGTAAGCAAGCTACCGCAAACGGGGATGCAGCAATTTAAACTGCATTTCCAGCCATATCGGAAGTTGATTGGTTTTATAATCGCGTTACGAGAACGGCGAGAGGAATAATGAGGAATAAAAACCCTGTTTAATTTAGTCTTTGTGGTGGGATATTTACAACACAGAAACTTATATTACTTCGATATTATATTAATGCACGAATAAACACGAGGGATGGTTATGAAGAAGGTATTTTCCAATATACGGAGATATGAGGCAGTCTTTGGATCCCAACTTCAGAGGCAATTCAATGCCACATGAAGTCACCCAGGCAGGTCAGGGGCAATTAAAGACATCTGAGGCTGCGCAAGATTTTCTATCCCAGTGGAAGGAGATCCGAGTCAATCAAATGATATTTGAGGCGATCTCTGCATACACTCATGCACAAGCACCCCATTTTTATCAGCATTTCAAGGCTGATTCAAGGGCAATTTCAGAATACGTCTGGCATTCAAGTCCAGACGCGTGTCAGATAGGCTTTTGCGCTCAATCCTAATCAGAGATTAGTCTGACTCTAGGAAGGCATTTAAAGGTCATTTCAAGACCACCTAGGTAATTACGACCACATGTCATGATATGACAGAATATATAGGCAGCAGCGGTGGCCGCAGTAGTAGACTCTTCGGTCTCCTGATCAGTCGCCGTGCGCTGTGTGGGTTCGAGTCCCGTCCCAGGAGAAATTTTTCTCTTGGCTATGGATGTTGTGATTGTCCGTAGGTGGTAGATGGTCTCTGACTGTCGAACGCGGAGGTACCACCCGGCGGTTCTCGTAGGCGGAGCCAGAATGTGTGCATGTTGCATGCACACGTGTTCCCTCGCCAGAGTCCGTGTGGCGTCCCCCCTTTCCCATGTATCCCCCATAGCCCCACGGTACCCAATGGGTGCTTAGGGCTTAGGTCTTCGTGGTAGTTGAAATATAAAAAAAATGATCGATAGTTTGTAAAAATGAGCAAGAGCTGACTGCAGACTTGATCTAGTAGCGCCAGTGGGGCAGAACTTTATTTTTATTAAGAATATCCTTGAATAATACTAACAGAAAAAAGTAGGAGTGAAAAAACTAGTCCATTTAACCCAACGTATGCACGAAAGCAACTATAATTGATCGATCAAACGAACTTACCTGAAGTGAAGTTCGATCGTAATTATACGAGGGTCCAGTCCGAAGACATCACTTTGTTTATTCACTATGTAGTCCGCCCCTGGAGTACGATCCGCGCACCAAGTTGAAAGACGAGAATCCCCACCTCCTCGCCGCGCCCTGGCCACTCGCGTTGAATCATTTGTTTAAAGAAATGGTACTTGCTCGCAACTTGGGAGGGTTGCATATAGGGTGGGGGTGATGTCTTCGGACTGGACCCTCGTATAATTACGATCGAACTTCACTTCAGGTAAGTTCGTTTGATCGATCAATTATACTTTGGGTCCAGTCCGAAGACATCACTTTGTTTATTCACTATGTAGATGTTTAAAGATGAGATAGAGTTGCGAGCGAGTTGATGATATAAAAAATACAAGTATACAAACACAAAAAGGCAAAAACATATATTCTGCATTCTCATAAACAAAAGCAAAAAACAAGGGGTCAATTTTTAACATTTACCCTAATAGTAATATTTTTTCAAAAAACAACTAGAGTACCTAAAGTACGTCACAAACTCTTAAACTGTTCTAACTAATCAGGCATTTATGTCCAAAATGGCATTTGCAAACTCATTGTTGGTTTGTAAAGGACGATTATAAAACTTTGCAAATGTGGAATGTTGCGTCCAACCAACTGTTTTACATATACTATCTACGGAAACGCCTTTTCTTAACGCCGTTGAGGTAGCCGCATGCCTGACTGAATGGGGCGTAAAAAGTGTTGTGTTGACACCCGCCGATGCAAGAGTCTGTTTTACCCATCTGCTTAAAGTGTCTTTGGACGCCCTGGTATGTGGTTTTTTATATGTCACGAATAGAAAATCGTTGTCGGGTTCTCTCAAGCTAGCTGTTCTGTCAATATATTCCTTCAGGATGGTGGCTACGCACAGGAAAGGGTTTTGTTGAAAAACCGGTATATGCAAGGTTGGTTGAGGTTTCCCAATTCGACTGGTTTTAATTGGGTCTGAAATATTAATGGTAGTTTCGCTGGGACCATGGGAGGTATGTGAAAGACGAATAAGAGAAATTGTCTGGAGTCTTTCTCCTGTTATTAGAGCTAATAACGTTGTCAATTTTTGTGACAGACTTTGGAGGCTAAGTGGAGATGGTAACTTTTCTAGATAACTTAGGAGAGGTATAGGATCCCAGGTGGCCGAATATTTTGGCCGAGAAGGCCGTAAACGATGAATGCCTTTTTTGAAGCGTCTAATTATAGGATTGGATGCTAAATCAGTTGAGCAAATTAGTGAAAGAGCAGATGTATGAGAATTAAAAGTGCCAGACGTGAGGTTTTTCTTCTTTGTCAACTCTTGCAAGAATGACACCACGTCTTTGATTGTGGG